CTGATTCTTAGGAATTATATAGGAATTAATGAAAACTAAATTATAATGAAAATTAGAAGTATCACATGGAGAGAGTGGAAATCTTCAGTGCTGTGAGCCAAACATTTCTGCTCCCTACCTCCCAGATGCCCTGAAGGATCATACTTCCTACTGCTGTGGTCAGCTGGGGCACATGTGCAGGTCTGATGAGGAGTCATTTGGAAGGGAATACTTATTGGCAGGAGGAAAACCCTCTGGAGCTCTCTTGTCTTCATTACTGTGAGGGCAATATTTGAGAGGGTGGCTGCTCTGTCAGCCTACAATGAGAATGTGTGAAAGAAATCCAACTTTACTGTCTGAAGTCACGGGGACTTAGAAGATGCTTGTTGCTGCAGCATTCCCTAGCTCATCCTGACTGCTAGAGGAGATGGTAACATTCACATGCCCAACATATTTGATCTCTGTACATAGAAATCCACTAAAGTTAAAAGATTACTGTTAGGAATCAGAATAAAAGAAAATATTTATATGTTTCAGCTGTTTTACAACCTTGACTAAGGGCACTGTAACAATCAATGTCTGGACTTTCTCCTCCCAGATAGTCCAGGCTGGGCAACACCAACGTTTACCTTCCTGAGTCTTCTTTTCCACACTTTTATTATGGACAAGCCAACTTCTGATGGTCTTAGTCTTCCTTTAATTGCTATTGCTTTTATTTTAAAAGTCATGCCACATGCTATTTAATAAATGAACAGTTCAGAATTAAATGAAATAAAATGTAAAAGACCCATTTTCTCCCCTGCCCTACCAGCCTAGTCCCTGGAGTTCACAGTTTGGAGTCGGCCCCTCCAGGCATTTTGTCTGCGGTTCAAAGTACAAACGAATTCTACTTTTCGTATTTTTCTGTCCTTTGCTTTTTCACTTAGTCAGGTACCTTTACAAGTCGGTGCATATCGATTTATCCAATTCTTTTTAATGATGGCAGAGTTCTCTATTCAATGATTTACCAGTTCATTTAACCATCTTCCCATAGTTTTCTTTTTTTCTTTTCCTAGTCACTTGCTATTGTTAATACAAACTTGTAAAATACATCTTTTGCATACTTGTGCAAATTAATCCAGAAGGAAAACTCCTAGACATAGAACTCTGAGTTGCAGTTTAAATGCCAGTAAATATTGCCAATTCTCCTCCCAAAGTTTTATAAGGTCAATTTACCTTCCACCAATACATTGTGTGTTCTTGTCTCTTCCCACTCTCAAAAACATATGGTATTATCAAATATTTAAAAAATATCTGCCATTCTAATCAGGCGAGTTTGTTCTCACTGTTTCTTTAAGTATAAGGCTGTAGTCAAGTGTGGTGAGGCCGGGTGGCATTCTTTCTCTCTAAGGTGTGCTGATTTTGTTGTTTGAATCTCAGAGGATATCCCTGTATTTAAGCCCTGAGGAAGTATCTCGTCATCCCCCTCATTTACTAAATGGACAGGGCTCACAGCACTTCCAGGACCTTGATACAGTATCCACCGTGCATTGCAGATGGCACTTTTGCAAAGATGTCATCAGGGCAGATGGGCTGGGAACTGGACAAACTTGGGCCCCTCAGTTAATTGATGTGCCACTCTCCTTTATTGCAGCAATTCAGTTTTGTGTCCTTGCCCACTGACGTACTGGAAATCGAGGTGAAGGACAAGTTTGCCAAGAGCCGCCCCATCATCAAGCGCTTCCTGGGAAAGCTGTCAATGCCGGTCCAGAGACTCCTGGAGAGACACGCCATAGGGTAAACCTGTGACTGAGATCTCATGCCCAGGGGAAGCCTGTAAGCGGCA